TAATTCCAGAAGCAAATACCACACAGAGCTCTCGAGACTGTAAATAAGTTTGTGCCAGGATCGCATTCCGGGGTGGAAGTGTGACCTGCTCAGAAGGAAACTGATGTACCTGGCTGCAAAAATCGACCAAGTTTCGGTTAAGTGTGAACACAGACATCCCCAAAACTCACAACACGATAGTTTACTCCACCTTTTCCAGGCCAGCTCTCCAGATTCCCCACGGGAAGAGCCGGCCGGGAGCGGAGCCTCGGGGCTCTGCCGCCACCTCGCGTCGCCGCTCGGAGCCGGCCGGGAGCGGCGCTGGGAGGGCTCCGCCGCCTGGAGCCCCGCGATGCGTCTGAAACAGCGCTGAAAACCAGAGATTTGCTTCCTCCTGGCTCCCACTGAGGACGGCCTTTCATTTGCTGGGCTGCTGCCCCGGGAGCTGCACATCGCGGTGCAGCCCAGGCTCGGCGATGCCCCCAGCCCGCCCCGGCTCGGGGGATGCTGGGGCCGCCGAGCCCCCCAGTGAAGAGAAGGAGAAAAGGCTTTAGCTGGTGCTCCCTGCTTCTCACAGCACCGGGACACCCCTGCTCCCCTCGCTCCTCGGCAGCGTGCAGATGAGGGACCATCCCTCGCTACCTTCTTTGAACCTGCAGTAACAGCCACGAGGATAACTAGGGATGAGAGCCAGCTGTTGCTGGGCTTATATGACAAATGAGAGATTCAGATGTGAGACTGATAGTAATTAGATTGCCACCTGCTATCGCTTTAATCCGTATCCCGGATTTTTAATTGTTAAGGGGGGTGGGGCAGTTGGCACATGAATACATGAGGACGATCTTGTAAGGCACAAAGCATTAGGATTGTATCCCAGGCATCACAATTAGGGCTGCCCGTTTTTTGGTTTAGCCTCCACTGTGAATTTTGGTCTAATTTTTCAACATTTTCCTCCTGAAAGTCTTAGAAAACTTGTGCACTCTGTCCTTCCATCCATCCATCAGTTTGTTTGTAGCAGATGCAGTCAATTTCATTTTAGGCTTGGACAACACTTACCAGTTTGGCTTCCTGACAACCTTCTGCATCAAGTGGCCTGCATTCATTGGCATTGTGTCTGATTTTCATCAGGTTCCTCTCTGAAGCCTGTTCCTCCTGGCTGTTACCCAGGTGAGCAGTCCTGCTGCAGTCAGTGATAATAGCTGTCCATAATTAGTACTTAAACACATTTGTAGGGTTGGGGTTTACTTCTTCCCCCCTGCTTTGGATAGCATCAATCTACTTTCAAGTCACGCTTCATCAGAAAAAGAGAACACCAAGAATTTTGAAAGGTTTGCTATCAGGTTCCACAAAGGGATATGCTTGGGAGGAACACGTTGGTTTTGTTGGAGAGACACACAAAATAGACTATGATTTGCATAAGGAGCTGAGAGAGAACTGAATGAGGGGTCGAGAGAAGGGGTTTCATTGACTTCAAAGAGCGTTGGATCGGATTCATGCAGACCATCTGCAACTTCCTTTGATGCACCAGCAAACTGGAGATAACAAGCCTCTCTTCTCCACATGCCCTGTGTAGGGCATTATGTGAAGAAGGACTTTCAGCCTGGCAGTGGCACAAGCCACTCTTAGAAGAGAAAGTAGATCCATAGAATATGTTTGGGGGAAGCCGTTTTTCCGAGGTGATTGAATGTTGCAGCAGGTTTGAAAACAAACGAGCCCTAGAGGTCACTGCAGAGCAGTCATTTGAGTCGCAGTGTGTTTTGAGGGAAAATTGTCAAAACACTTTGGAATATTAGATTTATTTGAGGTGATTCTCAGTAGCCATTGTCCATCTCTCTCCAGAACCACCCAACCAAATGCCATACCTCCACAGAGCAGGATCCCAAAACTCTTTTAATCCCTGTTACCTTTCTCAGGCAGAATGTCACCTCCTTCATGCTTCACCCTCCACCTCATATTGCCCCCTACTCCCTCTACCACCCCTCACCCCGTGAGGTCTCCTTGCTGTGGAGCAGCCCAGCCTCATCATCCTGTCTGTGTCTCCACAGCATGCACAGGCTGCCCCCTCACCCTGCCATGGTTCCATCAAACAGCTTTGCTTGCCTTTCTCCATCCAGAAGAGCGGTTCTGATGGCAGAGAGGGATAAATCCTGGCAGTGGTTGCCACAGGCTGGGAGGTCATCCCAAGCACAGCATACTCCTCTGATCAGCTGTAGTTATCTGTGGAGAGGTGCTTAGGGGACTTGGTTAAACACTGTGGGATGGGTGGAGCAGAGCAGTTTGATTGTCCCCGTGGAGAAATTCATCTGCTTCCTCCAACATTTATCAATTGGCAATTTCTGGCTATTTGTGAGGCAGGGGTAGAGCAAGAAGGTAAAATTCTGCAGAACAGATAAATTGGCACAGAGGTAATAGAAATAAAAATAGAAACAGGATCAAAATAATAAGCCATCATAAGTATTTCTACAGCCCTTTTCATCAGCACAAGTCAAACAATTTTCAAGAGCTAAAAGAATCAAGCCTCTCAGCAGTGCTCATACACCAGAAATATGCAGTTTCTTTCACCTATTGCTTAACTGCTGTCATCCCTGAATTAGGAGAGAGAAGCTGTTCATTGCTCAAGGCAACGATGCCTCGTGATTTAGGACACGAGAGGCTAACTCAAACTGTAAGACAAGGCAGCATTTAGAGAGTTGGCCAGGCCACTGCCTTACAAAAAAAGCCATGGATCTTTAACACCAAGTGGTCAGGCCCTCAGTTTGACGTCTCAGCTGATAAAACAGGAAAGGTGAAAGCAGGGGCAGAACCAATCTTTTAACAGCTGGCTATAGGAGAAGACAAATTTGTAAACTGAAAGAGGGACAAAGGAAAAACATTTACCCCCTGCTTTTAATAGAGATTCATTCATAAAACTTAAGTGAAGGCTACAAGGTCATAGAAAGTTACATGTGATCCAATTTTGGAAAATGCCCTTCTTACAGCCTAAGCCCAGAGGCAGAGGCTATTTTAGCTATTGCCAAGGAGAAGTGTCATGGAGACCCCTTTTTTCCTTCTCTGGGGGCCTAAGGAAACTCCAGCTAGACATATTGTACATGCCAAGGTTTAACAATCTTTGTTCATAATGGATCCAGGCGTGAACCCAAGTGCATTCAGGAGAGGCCCAGGACTAAGAGGTAAAATGTAAAGCCTGAAATAGGGAGGGAACATTTTCTGGACTGGGATAGGGTCATTCCTGGGGCAGTGAACGTATGCGGGTTCATTTTGCACCTGGTATTCTGATTAACAGTGAGGTCAGTCTCCTGAACTTCCCAAGCATGAACACCTGCTTCTAGCACTGCTCATATCCTAGCCCTTCACAAGGCTTTCTCCTTCAGTAATCCCAGGAAATGCATAGGCATCCCATGTCTGTGCATGAACTATTCCCAAGAGACTTTCACACCAGGGAAGATTGATCTCAGCTCTCCCATTTCTGAGAGCTCACAGACAGTTCTTCAGCTGACATCCACCAGCTGTGTCATCATCTTTCAGTGCTGACTCCTCTGAAAAGGAAAACACAAATTCTTGTTGTCCCTGACTCCAGCACCTTGCTCTGTGTTGCCTTTGCCTCTTCCTTAGAAGTTGGGCAACAGCTGTTGTTCTTTCCTGTTCCTTTTCCTGCCATTATGAGATGTCTGGATCCATCTTTTGATCTTCCACAAATGACACCTGAGCAAAGATGACCTGGTTGTGGTCCACACTTCTACATCTCGTGCACCAGTAGTACAACAGGGCAGCACAGCCCTTGTTTCCTGAATGAAGCAGGCTGTGCAAGAATCCCTTATGACCTTTTTACCATCTTTCTCCTGATTTCTGTGGCAACTCCTCTGCCCTTGATGAGTTTTTCTGGAAGTCGCTTTGTAAATGTTGTCAAACTGTGTGTGCAAAGCAGGTGAGCAGAATGAGCACAGCTGGGGTTTGCTCTGGCAGGGGATCCGAGCCCGGAGCCTGCAGGGGATCCAAACTCCGGAGCCTACAGAGGATTCCATCCCGGAGCCTGCAGGGGATCCAAACTCCGGAGGCTGCAGGGAATCCCATCCCGGAGCCTGCAGGGGATCCCATCCCGGAGCCTGCAGGGGATCCCATCCCGGGGGCTGCAGGGGATCCCATCCCGGGGGCTGCAGGGGATCCCATCCCGGGGGCTGCAGGGGATCCCATCCCGATCCCGCCCGCCGGGTCCCCGCTGTCCCCCGGCACGGGCAGGGCGCTGCTGCAGCAGCGGTGCTCGCTCACCCTCGGGCACCAAGGAGAGCGAACCGAGTGCGGAGCTAGGAGGGCTCAGGGACAAGGTAAGGGTGAGTGCAGTCAAGAAAGCCAGAGCCCAGGGAGGAGGAGCAACAAAGCAACAGAAAAAAAGTAACACCACAACAAAAAAGACAGTAAAAGGGAGTGCAATAATGGGCATGCATTTCTCTTTCTTCTGCCCTATGGCAAGCTGCCAATCTCTTCCACACAAATTCCTCAGTGCTACTAAAACCAGTCCCCATGGACACACCTGCCTTGAGACAAATTCTTTTAGTCTTGAAAAAATCTGGGCACTTCTTCAATAAGGCGCTTTGCTTTTAAACTGCTTTGCCTTTGTGAATTTTGGCAGCAGCTCGCACTTGGAGAGCTTTTGAGAACCCTTTCTGTAATCAGATTTCCCTGCCCTGCCCCAGGGGACCGTGGGGAGTCACTTCCCACAGCTGTCCCTCAGCTTCCAGCCCTGTGGCGTGGCTCAGCACTGCCTCAAAGGGCTGGGGCGAGCTTCGTTTGTGTGTGAAGAGCTGTGAAAGGAATCCACGAGGGTGCCGGGTGCTGAGCCGTGCATGGCATGCCCTGAGCACAGTGTTACCATCAGCTCATCACCCGGGTATGGCAGGAGGTGGGGCAGGCCCTGGAGTGTGCTTTAAAACACTTCACTGCCCAGTGCAGAACTTCATAAAGTGAAAGAAAGAGGAGGCAGTGGAGTCATGTCACAGGATTTATTTCTTCTATGCAGTAGGGCCAAGGTTTAAGACCAGAAAATACAAACATGCTTAGGAGGACCAGCTAAATACTCAGAAAAAAAGAAAAACTCAAGCTGACACTTTCCCAGTCCCTTCTCATGCAGGCTATCTCTTGAGCCACCTTATGCTAGAGGTATTTAGGGGTGGCAAAATTACTGTATTTGCACTGACAACAGTCTTCTTTTCTTATTTTGACCAAAATCAGTCTAGGCTGTCCACAAGCATAAAAAATAGTCCAAATGATTTGCAGCATGATGCAGTAGAAAAGAGCATCACTACAATTCTGTGGATACATGGCTAAAATAATGGGCATTATGATTTCTGCCCATTCTGATTTTCTTCTGAGTGAAATTTATAGTAACATGAGTAACCTGCTCCTTCTTTCCTATTTACCTTCTTTTTTATTCTATAATTTCTAACTAAGCCCTTATCACATTTGCTCTGAGAAAGAGGTCAAGTTTCTCTTTATAAGCCAAGTTGCCTGTGTTGGCTTAGACTTGGTTTTAATATGGAAAACATATGCTAAGTGTACTTTCTCTTTTTTGGCAATAGACATGCTCTCCCCCCTAATCAATTACCAAGACAAGTCTTGAAAAAGCACGGTTTGAAGATATGGATGCTGTCATGAGCCATGCAGAGTCTAATTCTGGCTTGGCTGCAAATTTAATTTGAAGTCTTGAGCAAGTCAATAAATTTTTCTCATCAAGTTTTCCCTCAGCAAAAGAAGGAATAGTTACTTGCCTTGTAGATATGCTGTAAAGACTGAGAAAGTCATTAAATACTTTATCTAATATGTAAAAAATCTCTTAAAATTATGTAGAAATCCCAATTAGGATTTATAAAGAGGCTATTTAAAACCACAATAGAATAAAATGTATCAGCATTGAAGCAAATTAATGAAATAACCACGGTAAAAACTCCTCAGATATGAAGAACGGAACATAAATCTGCAGCTGCCTGGCAGAGTATATTCCACTCAGAAAAGCAACTGCTCTTTGTTCATTGTGGTGGAACAAAGTAATTGCAGATACATGAGGAAATTCTTGTAGCCTATGACACTCCTTGATAATGCTTTCCATTATTATTGGTCTTTATTTTTAATGACCTTATAACACTTTGGGCCTTTAGTTGGGATCTGTCCTGGTGTGGTGGTACCACAGACACAGAAGATAATGAAGTGCACTGCCCCAAAGAGCTTTTGGTCAGAGATCCCAAGTGTCCAACAGTTTACACTGCACTGAAAGGTGATGTACCATTGCTCTGATTTTACACGTGTGGTCAATTTTCCCCCTTTTCCCCTGTTTGACATGAAGCAGAACAAGGTTGCTTATCTCAGTGTCTGACTCCCCCTCGGTGGGGCCTCGCCGTGTTTGCTTGGTGACATAGCAGGGTAGTGGAGGTCAGGTGCTGCTCCTGGAGCTATGGCTCTGTTCATGTGATTATGTATCAGTAATGCTGCACAAGCTGAACTGAGGCCTTCCAGGACTCCTTCCTCAGGTCATCCTGCTCCATGAGGGAGGAGGCACCAGCTGCTGCTAACCCCAAACAGGGGTTAGCATGCAATGATCTTTGCAGGTGTGAAATAAATGTGCTCTCTGCTCTGGCAAGCTCCCTCTGTGAGTAGCAGGTACTCACTTGCCAGTTTACCAAGAGCTGCTCTCCACCAACCATGTGCATCCATCCAAGGCACTCAGCTGAGTGTGGTTTGCACGTAGGTCTGTGCAACCCACAGCTGACATTTCATCAGCTTCACGGTCTGTTTTGTTTGCGTGGCATTTTCATTCGTAAAAGGTGTCAGTGAGACCTGGAATCTCTAGGGAGAGGAAAAAAACAGGTATTTTGCCAGTTCTACTTTAGGCCACTTGCAGAAGTGAGGAGCATTTCCATTGGTATCCCAGCCAAATGTCACTCTTCTAAGGCAAGTGCTGGCTTCTTCCACCATCACTTGGCTGAACACAGGAGTCCTTGTGGGAAAACTTTCCCCTTTTCTGAGAGAGCCCTGCCCTGTTAGGAAACACAAGGAGAGGAGAGAAGACTGCCTCACTGAAGGATGCCTTTAAAGGTCAAATAACCTTTTCAGTTGCTGTGCAATAGATTTTAAGACAAAGAAACATACAAACAGTGGATGAAAGTAGATCAGCCTAAGGGGGCACGTGAATTCAGATAGTGCAAAGACTGATTTCTGTAAAACCTGTGAAGACCCTTGAGAGCAGAGACCTGAGAAGGCTGGGCGTGCACAGCCTGGCCAGAGCAGACAGAAAATACAGTGGGTGATGCAAGGGCAAGCCTGAGAGGCAGAGCATGATGCAGCACAGGCACAGCAAGCAGTGCTAGTGCTGTTAGCAGACACCTCTGACGGCAATGGGACTGGCACCAGCTGAGACACTACATAAAATCAGTAGCACCAAGTGCTGCCTTCACTCATGCTGCTTCACACCTCCACACCTGGTGGGCTTTGTGCCAGTCTGGTTTAGGTTGGCTGCAGTGATCATTGCTTCTATGATGTTTTTGGATCTATAGAGTTATGATGTCAGGGAATTGCAGAGTTCCCCTGCAGAAAGCAGAGGAGAATGAAAAACCACAGAGCTCCAAGATGGAAGGAGCAGAAATAAATTCAGTGCAGTAGAGGTCCATTTTCTGAAGACATTAAACAGCTTTAAGACTACACTAGTAAATGAACACACCCTTTTTATCACTGAGGCAACCAAAGTGGGGAGAGTGGAAACAGGCTGTTATAGGTAAAGCCAAATGAGATGTTGCCTAGTAACTCTCAGCAGGGAAGCATTTAAACCCAGCCAGTTTAGTGAAGCTGATGTTCTGAGTCACAGATTATTTTCTCTGGAAAAAATTCTGAAGGAAGGAAAGATCAATTTAACAGACATAGGATTTATTTTGCTTTTAGGGCAAACCATAATGACAATGCTTGGGAGAATGCAAAAGTATTTACAAACTTGTAAAGGAAGAATAGACAAGGCATCAAAAGCAACACTTTATCAAGCCTGTTTTTTTAATGCTGATTTATTTCCCTCAAATGCAGTAAACTCCATATTGATTTTTATTTTTGGATTCTGAAATACACAAGTGATAACAGAAGTCTGAAAATATTATACATATCATTACATTATTATCATATAATTGCTGTAAGAGAAGTTTCTGGAGCAAACCCTATTTCTACTCTGCTATTGGATACAGAATCAAAATAATTGATTTAAAAGAAGAAAGACTTCATGTCTCCACTGATTCCATTGCCTGAAACAGTTTTAATTAAGTCCTCCTTCAGGACTTTGCTTTTATGGGTTCACAGCAAAGTCACTTGGCTCAGCTAAGGGTCTCTCACATCAGGGGGAAAAAACCCTCAGACCTTATTTGAAGATTCATGTTATTTTTGCTTCCCTTTAGAAGGATATGATGATTTTATAGAAGTATAAGTTTACCATGATCAGCCACGTACATCTGTGTTCCTGAGTGCCACAACTACTGCTCTAAATAGGCAGTCAGGTTCAGGAGAGCACCTCATTTCAGCAGCCTCAATACAATTAATGATGATAGCTGCAAATGTGAACTATGGCACAGATTTTTTTTTTAATTAAAATATACAATAACCAGATCAACACACCACACTAACCATGAAAAGACAGACTGCCAAAGAGTTAAAACAAAAATATGTATTTTATCAACAATGATAACAGCTGGAAAACAAAGCTACTACAGCACAAATACTAACATTTGAGTTATATGTTAAAAGCATGAGAGTTTTCTACAAACATGCTGTAGGAGCAGAGAAAGAATGTTCTGCAAGGCAGAGAGAGTCACTTCTCACAGACCAGAGCCTGGTTTGAAGTTTAGTGAAATGCTGTTGATACAGAACCTCTGCCCAGAAGGTGTGGGTCCATCATCAAACACATGGCCTAGATGGGCGTCACACTGCAACAGAAATCATCACCATTTTATTATTGTATTGCCACAAAATGACGGAATCATTTAGGTTGGGAAACACCTCTCGTTCATAGAGCCCATCTTTGACTGATCACTAATGGCACTAATTGCCATCTCCAGTGGTTTCTTGAACATCTCCAGGGATGTGACTTCACCACCTCCCTCGACAGTCCATTCCAAAGCTTAGAAACCCTTTTCATGAAGAAATTCCCACTGACATCCAGCCTGAGGCCATGGTCTCCTGTCCTGCCTCCAGCTGCCTGGGAGAAGAGCCCAACTCCCCCCTTGGCTGCACCCTCCTTTCAGGCAGTTGTAGAGAGTGATAAGGTCACCCCCGAGCCTCCTCTTCTCCAGGCTAAGCATTCCCAGCTCCCTCAGCTGCTCCTCATCAGACTTGTGCTCCAGACCCTTCCCCAGCTCCACTGCCCTTCTCTGGACTCTCTCCAGCACCTCAATGTCCTTCATGTAGTGAGGGTCCCAGAACTGAACCCAGAACTCAAGGTGTGGCCTCAGCAGTGCTGAGTGCAGGGTTCTGGTCACTGCCCTGGTCCTGCTGGCCACTCCATTGCTGCTCCAGGCCAGGATGCCATTGGCCTCTTGGCCCCCTGGGCACTCTCTGGCTCATGTTCAGCTGCTGTTGAGCAGCACCCCCAGCACCTTTTCCTGCAGGCATCTCCCAGCCCCTCTGCCCAGCCTGGAGCTGCAGGGGTTGTTGTGACCCAAGGGCAGGAGCAGGCGCAGGCACTTGGCCTTGTTGGAGCTCAGAGCTCTGGCCTCTGCCATCAGTGCAGCCTGGCCAGATCCCCCTGCAGAGCCTTCCTGCCCTCCAGCAGCTCAACACTCCCACCCAGCTCGGTGCCTGCAGCCCTGGGTGCCCTCATGTGGATCTTGATAAAGACATTAAACAGACCTGGTGCCAGCCCTGAGCCCTGGGGAACACCACTGGTGACCAGAAACCATTGGCATTGCATTATTATCATTGGAATTATGGACCAGCACTATTATTACTGTGCTTTGCTGAATTGAGAAACTTTCATGATTAAATCACTGTTGAGTTCTGTGAGTGGGAAAGTCCTGGGGAGTGACAAGGAATCACATCTTGTCAGTGGGCAAGTATCTGCCCCCAAGCAAGATCTCAGAAGAGGAAGTCAAAAGGTATTATTGCCAGAAAGTATGGGAAATAAATGAGAGGAACTAAACATCTCAATAGGTCATGAAAATGTCAAGTTAATAAATCACTGTAGGTCATTCTCACAGATCAACTGAGGATTTCCCTCTCAAATTACTGACATGAAAATATTAGACACAGTATAGCTATCAGTGACATTATTAAATTGGAATGTCTTCAGCTGGGGTTCTTGAAGGTGCTTGTTGCATATGGCTGCAAATGTGAACTCTTCTGAGATAACGGACTGCAGCAAATTCTTGTTACATTTGCAGAATGTACCTAAGCCTACTGCAAGCACACTGAAGGACAGCATTAACAATCTTAACAGTTTACAAAAACAGACACACGGAGACATTAAAAACCCCAAATCCAAGATGCAATTAATTAAATTCAATTGCATGCTTTTATACCTTAACAGAAGTAAAAAACAGATTCAGGGTTGGGAAGAAATGGTTAAAGGTGGCAGTTGCTTAGAAAAAGAACCTGGGTATTTCAGCAGGCTCCAAAATAAATATCTATCTGTGTAATATGGTCTGTGGAAAGGTAAAGGTGTAAGGGCAGGAACACCATTTCTAACACACCTGAACAGCCTCTAACCCCTGCTGCAGGCTGGGCCCAGCTGCAGTGCTGTGTCCAACCTTGCACCTACTACAAGAAGGAAAAGGGTCCATTGGGAGGGATGCAAAACAGCAACAGAATGGTGAGCACACCAAAAAGCACTGCATAAAAAGGAACAGCTGAAGGAACTGTAACTTTCTATTCTAGAAAAGAGATGACTGAGGGAGTCAAAATAGCTAGAAAAAATAGAAGGGTAGCTTCTGTGAAACAAGAGAATCCACAGAAAATAGCTGTGGAGATGCAGGGCAAATGGTAATGGCTGCAAACGGCTTCAAGGGCTGGTGCCTCAATCTCTGAATATTTCAAGAACATCTACAGCAAATATTTAGCAAGGCTGAATGAGGAAGAACTGTCCCTGTAATGGGCCAAATGCATGGACCCTATCTCAGAGTCTCTCCTGCCATCTCTTGTCACAGCTTGAGTAAATTTTCTGGGTAATCTCCAGCCTTTGGCTATACATTATTGCTTTCCCCACTCACATACATTTCTTCAGCTCAGACTGAGAAAGAATGGCCTCTGTGATACTGTAATTCTCACTGTTGTATTTAGGGGGATTCATCCATGAGCACAAAGAAAACTTACCTGCTAAGTTTTGTGCCTTTGTGTATCAACTCCAAAACAGACATACCTGTTTGCAGACAACTTCAGTTCTTCTTGACCCCAGTGAGTTATCTGGTCGTCTCACAATATTGGTATTACTTTCATCTCTGCCACAAGTACCATAAGCCTCAGAAAAAGATGGCCATCCAGTCCCAGAATCGTACTTCTTCTCCGAGCTATAGTGGAAAGCAGATCTTCTTGTTAGTTAATAACAGAAATGTTACAAAGAGTCTGCTTCTATTGAGAACATTGACTTCTCCCCTCATTCCTGTGTTGTACCAATATTAATATTTTGGCACAGTAGAAGTTTTCTCATTGGCATCAAACTGTGCTGGAAACTCTTTCCCAAAGGGAATTCTCAATCAGCTCACAACAGGAGATTTTGTCTCACTGTTTCTATTTCAATGTCAGGTTGGTATTTTACAAAACTTAGAAAAGGGTTTTTTTCTGACAACTATTCTATACTAACATTGTGCTATAGTGTTTAGCTGAATTACACCTACAGAGCTGAGTATGAGGCTTGGCTCAACCCAGCAATCTCAGACAAGAGAGTTCACAAGCAGAAATGAAGAATAGACAAAGGCTGGGCTGGCCCACCAGACCAGGCTCGTGCCTGATGATGATAGAGGCTTTGTCTTGCAGTCAGCCATCAAGCTGGTTTGGAAAATCAAACAGAGCCCTGCTCAAACCATCGATCAACCTATGACAAATCCTCACAGCACAAAGATCTCCTTTTCCCAAGAGATAACCACAGCCATAAGAAACAGCACAACAGACTGTCAGCTTGTGGGTGCCTCCTGTTAACATCCAGGGTGACCAACACTGTTTAGCTGCACATTAAAACCTAGACTGTGTTGGCAAATGTGATCAAAAGACATTTTAGGGATTTGGCACAGAAATGAGATAAACTGTTTTGTTTAAAATCGTGCTAGCTTTGACAGCAATATGAACCTTCTCTTATCAAAGAGGGACCTAGCGGGAGTTAGAACAAGAAATTAAGATAGGTTCACATACTTCTCAGATTAGTGGTCTGGAGACTCACCACAACCATTTCCTCACAATTTCTCATGTTTATTTCCCAGTTTCGTAAACTCAATGCTCTTACTGGCATCTAGTGGTGGATGGAAACACCAGCACCACTAGCAGCTCTTGATCAAGGGATTGAAAGGTTAGTTAAGACAGAATGTAAAACCAAGTATATATATATATATATATCCAAACCAAGTAATATATATATTATTGTATATTTTGGTGAGTTGTTCACACGGTGAAGAAAAATCTTAAAATCTTAACTGCAGTTCATTTTAGAAAGATAAGGCAAACAAACTGGACAAAAAGCTTAAAAAATCCAAGCCAAAGAACAGTGCATGATTCAGCATTTTTATACTCATCTGTACAAGGCTGTTGTTGAGTAATGCAGCTGTGGAAATAAAAGAGGATTTGCTAGCACAGAATGACCAAAGGCTAGTTTTTGTGTGGGCTGTTGCTTAGTCCTTTACATCAACACACAGACAGCCATGAGAGAGGTTCTCCTTCCCTTCCCCTCCTCTCCATAAAACTGGAAAGAAATAGGACACAGCACAGGAGCAGCCTGCTCTGAAGCAAATGCAGTTTGCAGACTCTGTGTTTGTACATCAAGGTTTTCAGAGCTCCAGGCCTGTTTCTTTCCAGCCCAAGAAAGCTCCCTGCTTTCCCTGCCACAAAACCACATGAGCACTGTCCCTACCAGCCACAGAGTCCCCAAGAATGGCCTGGGGGACACATACTCATGCATGACTTCTGAGCTTCCCTGACATACATCTGCTCTGTCCCTTTTTTATCAAAACTCTTTATTTTTTGACACAGGAATCCTTATGCTTATTCACACATAGATACAAAGATCCTCTTTGAAAACCCACAGAGTCAAGGAAGGTCTTTAATACTGTGTGGGTTTTGCATCTGACCCTGACTGACTCTGTCCCTTACCTGCCACTCACGATACTTAGGTTTATTGTAGATGTTTTCCACTGCTAAAGGAACAATCTTTTGAGCTGTTAAACTAGCTCTCAACAGAAATGGTCTCTGTGTGGTTTATTAAGAGTAATGTCACTTAGATTCCCTAATAGAAACATTTTAGTACCCAAAAATATTGCTGTTCAAGATCATATTTGTCCTTTGAAGTATTTCACCACTTAATTTATGGATAAATGGACTTTCCCTAAACATATGCATTAGATTAGACCTCGACACACCATTCCTCCAGCACATGTCATTTACTTTGATCCCTGTTTCAGTTGTCCTGGATGGAATCCAGATAATTCTAAAAAGTGCTTTTTGCTGTATGAATCTCAGCTGTAGGTTTATGGTTTGATGAAGGTTTGAGATTTCATTAGAGCACAACAATTTGCTATCTATAAAGGTTAGGGGATTGTTCCATGTATTTTCAACTCTTTCAAATGCATATTTGGTAGCAGAAGGTACTAAATTCTGATTTGAATGTATACACACGTTTCAAAGAAAGGAAGAAATACTTTATGTTTACCTGTAGCTAATGATCAAATGCATTTGAAAAAACCAAAAATTCACAAGAACATTTTTTAATGGACTAGGAAATAAATACGGTGAATGAACCTCTTATCCAATACCACTTCTCCCCCTCACTGCTTGTGTTTTTCACAGCATAACATCTCCATGTAAAAGATATTTTAAGGCTATTTTTCACATTTAATAGTTTCCTTTTTTCTTACAAGGCTTTTTTTTTCACTGAAAGTTTGGCCTTTTTTGTCTGTGAGGCTTAGCATTATCTTGTGCTGCAAAGAAAAGTGCTTATATTCTCTGAGAGCTGGATAGTGCAAAGGGCAGCCTGACTGTTTGGTTATATTGCTGTTGTGTTACCAGTTTAACAACAGAAGCAATTCCCTCCAGTGTTTGTCTCTCTTCATGTTGGCCTGTCAATATCAATTGTCTAATATAAAAGGTGCCGAAATTGAAGGAAAATCTGAGGGAATGGAAGGAACTCTTCCACAGCTTAGTACTTTACAATTTCTCTAATTTACCTGAATTTTCCAGAGGTGTTTTTTGGTTTTATATTTCTCTTCAGAATATTTTGTAATGCTGAGCTAACATCAGAAATTAATTTATTTATAAGTATTCATTAGCAAACCTCTATGGAAAATTATACATTTAAGGAAATGCATGTTTGCATAACACTAGTTTTCTGCACTTGGCCAAAGGAAAACTAATTGTACACAATTATAATTTAATTGCTTAGTTTAGGTTTATTTTCAATACATCCATTACATTTTCCCCTCCTTTCTTACTATCCAGATTTCTTGATCCTTAGCATCCCATTTGAAGTTCTGATCTGTGATTCATCCTTTAAATCAGCCACATTTCATTCAATTCTCAGCTGGGAATAAATAAGGGCTATTTTCTAGACCAAAAGTATGAGAAATTGTCTTTCCTGGTTCAGTTACAGAGAACAGACCACCCTCTGCACATCCTACTCCAAGGCACTCTATTTCCTTTTACTTAGACGTTAATGAAGTTGCAAAATATATACAATATTGTAAAGAGCACAGAGGTTAACTGTGCAATCATTTGCAGCCAGGCTTTAAAAAGTAGCTGTAACCAAAAAGGCAAGAAAAGAATAGTGGAATTTAATTTAGGGAGCAAGGAGGGGGTGGGGGTGAGGAGAAGGTCTCAGCTGCAGTGTGAGGGACCCAGCAATGAGAACATCACAACAGTGGACAAGGACAGAGCAAGGTCTCTCCAGCCCAGCAGCACGAGTGACAGAAGATGAGTATGGAGGAGCACAAGAATAAACACACAGTGATACTCATGCATAAATACATGCATTTTGCAGCAGCTTGTGGCTTAAGGACCTCTTAAACAGAGAATTATTATCAACTGAAAAGAAGTGTGTCAAGAGAAACGGGCAGACTGCAGCATGGCAGCTGTGTGCTGGCCACTGGCAATCCTCATCAGCTCAAGGAAAAGGCAGGCCATGTATCTGTGTCACCACAGGCATCCTGGAAGACTGACACACAGCACTTGGGCACCAAGGGGTTGTTCTTCTGACCAACACTTTCCACGCCTTTCATGGGAAGATGTTGCCCTTTCTGTCACAATCAGTACACGTTAAAGAGGCTGTGAAATCCAGAGGATGTTACCTGAAGAGGGGGGCATTGCAGCACACGCAGCAGTATATTCCTGGTTCTGTGTTATTCAGATAGATCCCACTGAATGGCTTTTAAAATAGGAAGGAAAAAAGAGAAGTTAATAATGTAGGTCCTTAAAAGCACACCATCTGGAAGAAGCATGTAGGAATCAGATTCAAAACAGGAGAAAAACCATAAAAAGAAGGCTTTGCAGGGGGGCTTTGAAGAACAAACATTAGCAGCCTGAAAAAATGAAGGGGAGGATGCCTTTGGGCTAGTAGTGAAGACTACCCCCTACCCCCACAAACTTTGAGACCAGTCAGATGCATAAATCATCCAGGTACCAAGGATGGAGTCGTGACCTCCAAGAACCTGGTGAAATGTGCAGGATCCCAAAGGCCAGGGCTCTGCTGTGGACTGCCACAACTTTAAAGTGGCTTTACAAAGAGTCTCCTCCTTCCTGCATGGTCTGGTACTGGGATCCTTATTGTACAGATATGGATTTGGGCACAGATCACATGGTACATGCTCCATGTGTGCAGAAATCCTGTCTCTGGGCTAGGGACAGCCAGCACTCCACCCACAATGCTACACAGCTTCCCCACAGAAGGTGGGGACATGTGGGTGGGTGATCTGGCACCTGAGGGAGAACCCATCTCCTAAGGGAGCACTGTGTTTAAGATTTCCATGGCTAATCTACACATGATCATAAAAAAGATCCTACAGGATGACAATATCTGAGGATCTCCCCGTTCTCCAGACGGGTCTCTACTCCCACCACACAAACAGTTGATCTGGCAGGAAAGTATCCCAGAAAAAACCCCAATAAAAAATGAAAAGAATGCAGAATGTTTTTCATCTGCAAAACAGCCTGGGTCAGAACAAAATCCACCCTGTTCCGTATGTTGAGTCTAACTTTCATCCACAGGAAGGCAGGGGAAATCCTGTGAAGAATCTGAGTGGTGACAGCTCCCCAGGGCAGGTTTTTCTGTGCCCAGCAGGCAGAGAGATGGCTCACCCTTGGACAGCATTAACATTTTGCTCACCGGTTCAGTTCCTTTTTCTCGTGTAACATAGAATTGCTCTGGAGTCAGTTTTTTTTTCCAGTCTGTAGCAGCAGCTGCTTCAGCTTGTTTAGTGAGGGAGTCTGTGTCTTCAATTAGATATGGAAAGATAACTTAGTAAGATAGCTTAGATTCCCTTGATGCTTCCCATCATCATCTCAGTTCTCCAAAAGTTTCTATGGGTACAGACAAAGCACAGAGGGCAGTTCAGGGGCATGAGCAGGGCCACGTGCAGGACTTTGCATCTGCTTTCCATTTGGTGTGCTACATCCAGAGAGCAGCTCCAGCAAACCACTTGGGAAGGTTTGTAAAGGAAATGGGCACCTCTGACCCTGGGTACCACCCACTCTCCCAGCGATGCCTCTGCCCTGGCTCTGGATAACTGCTGGTCTGCCAGTGCTCCTCCTTCATCCCTGGATAGCACTAAAAGGTTTGGCAAACCACTTGGAAACCCTCAGAAACCAGAAGTTATGTTCATCTATGGGCTGTGGAACACTGGCAACTCCCATAAGTCCCAGAGAAAAGTGGTGCTAAGAAGGAGGACTGGAAGAAAGCAACAGCTACAGCCCAAGAGAAATGGGGCCACAGTTAAGTGAGAGACACACAGCAGCAGGGCAGAAGTCACCCATCATGGTGCAAACCTCCAGCAACGTACCCTGTGAGTCTGTACACACCAAGAACACTTGTGGTGGTATGGGATTGACAAAGAATTAATAGACTGGCTGAAAAACAGGGAGTAAAATAGTTTAATACTCTCCTAATCATAATGTCTGAGGTGGGGAACTACCCCCCAGCCTATCTCCCATCAGCACAAGATCCTTGATAAACAATCAGCTCCTGAGGAATGAACGCTTGCCCAAATTAATCTCTTGCAAGGCAGAGGTGAGACTGGGGTGGAGGAAAAGGGCTGGGGCAAATTAATTTGCAAATGTTAGTTTAACAAAAAAACCTAGAGCTTGGCCTGCCAGTTCAAGACAAAACCCCAGAGCATACTAAGGCGGCCCTTCCCAAGGCCAGCAGACGGCGGCAGGGGATGCTCCCGGCCCCCGGCGGTACCTGAGCCCCGGTGCGCGGCGCCCGGCGGGCAGCGCAGCGGGAGGAGCAGGCGCCGCATCCCGAGCATCCTCCCGAGCGGACGGGCCGCCATAGCGGGCAGGATTCCGGCTGCGTGTGATCCCTGCGTTCCACCTAAAGGATCAGACCTCATAAAAGCAATGAGCAAAGCAGCCGCTTAAATGCCGATGCAGCGCTTGCAGGTAAAGGTTTCAATCACTTCTTACCGAGAGCAGCTTAAAAATGAACACTCGCTGCAGCCGTGAACGTAACCAAATCCTGTTGAGACATTTGCTTGCAGCTATTCTAGGTTGTTTTTAAGGAGAGCAGGTCTGGTACTTGCATGCAGAAGCGCTCTTGCTGTCCTGGATGCGTGTCGCAGGCGTCGCTCAGCGCTGTGGATCGAGGAGCGGCGAAGGAGCTGTGCCATCTGAGGGCTTCCTGTTTTCCTGGCGTGATTTGCAGTCACAGCTGCCTTGGCTTGGCCTATAAATATACCTGTAACAGGACACGTGTGTTAGCTTGGCAGCCCGTCCTTAAAAAGTAGACCTAAACACAAGTTAGTTTTCTAGGTTAAGCCTTAATGCTGCTGTCTGCTTTTCTTCCAATAGTTTCATTTCTGATTTGAAATTCATCATTTCAGAAGGATGGGGAATGAAGTGTTTTGATTACATTGGACAACAAAGCTAATAATGATGCTAATAATAAACAAAGCTAATAATAAGTTTACTTTCTTTTAGTCTAATTCTTCGAGCCTAATTCTAAAATCAAATCTAAAAAATAGTCTTGTGTGATCAGTCCTGTATATACACATTTGTATTGAAGCATCCTTATGCCTAAGACAGTGCGTTCCATGGCAGCTGAGGATCTCCAGCACAGCATCTGATCAGTACCACGGCTGCAATCACTGCCTCTGCTCGGATCCACAGAGAGCTGCACCGAAGGCATTCACTGTGGGCATGCCCTGGCAGGGGGGAGCGGGGCACACGGCTGATTTATGGCTTTGTCCTGTGTAATAAAACACGGCGGAGTGAAGCAGAGTACCTGGATAAAAACCCTGGAGATGTGATGCCTGTGATTCAGGGTGTTAGGAGAGTAGTGCTGCTGGCAGGGAGGAGAGGGCTTTGCCACCCCACTGTGGTGCTGGCAGAAGGCAGCATCCATGCTATAGGCAGAGGGACAACATTTTTCCATGTTCAGCCATTTTGGCAAGTGATGATCCTGTGATCTTTCCATACACTTTCTAGCTTGCCCCTACGGCATCTTATATCAGTCATTTAGCCATGGTTTAGGAGGGAGTTGGAACAGGTTAGGGAGCCTTTGGTGAGGAGAGACCCAGTCTGACACCTCCCCAGTTCTGGCAGGTGCCTTAGGGCTAGAAAGTGGTTGCAGGTGATGGTGTCACTCCCGGCCTCTGTCTCTAGTTCAGCTGTAGAAAAGAGGCATTTCTCTTACATTCCTGGTCTTAATCTCACTCAGATGGTGTTTCTCCTGAGGAGGACAGGTAATCAATAGAGTTCTCCCTGAATTATCTGGGAAATGAAGGAGGCTGAGAGAAAGTGGTTAGTTCTGAAACTTGCATGTTTTCATGTAATTGACATCGATTTAACTGGTGCTTTTTTTAAAAGGCAAAATTAAATAAAAAATGAACTGTCAGTATCTTTCTTGCAGGTCTCTGTTACTGGTACCATCCCAAAAGCAGCAGTTTTGAGCCAGTGGGAACTGAATCAACACAGGTCTGCTGCTGTATCATTTTCCTCAGATTCTGGAGGAGGGAAATAGGGGTCTGGGGGTTGGGCAGTGGGAGCAGAAGGAGCACAAGGCATCAGGCTCATCAGCCCAAGCCTCATCATCCTCTCAGTTACCCAGTTCATTACAAGGCACTCCTTGATTAAAATGAGGGGGGTGATGGAAGAGGCAGATCCCATTCATCCCAACAGCTGTGATCCATATTTGAGGTGGTACATGGCAGACCAGGAGAAAATCCTCCATTTCCCCCTGAAACAGAAGCCTGACCTGCAGTCATCCAAACCAGCATGACAGGTTTTCCTCAAGTGGAAAACAACCCCCCAGCTGGAGGTAATTCATTTTTCAGATCTTCAGTGCTGAAAAACCAAATCATTGTCCTGTCATGCCTGTAATGTTGCCTCCCATGGTTACAGCACACACCAAGCCGTGTAGCTAGGCAGACATCCGGCCTGCCTTTCTCCCCATAGACTGTTCTGAAAGCCAATTAAACTGTTACTTAATTTTCCTCCTATTTTTTTTTCTCCCTTATGCACAAGAGGAAGCATTTAAAAATCTCCCCTAGCTACATTATGTAAATTTTCAAGTAAATTCTCCCTGAGTTGTAATTCAGCAGATTTATTGTTAAAATGTCATCTGTCTCCAGCATGTACACAAGCTGCATCCAGGGAAGGGTCACTCATCCAAAGCACAGTGTCCCTTTAGACATGTGTGGATGGGGAGAAGCTCCTCAGCTCCTCCTGTAGTGTGGTCTGTGCCGAGACAGCAGCAGCATCACATGTGTAGGCAAGAGCAGAAGGGAAGAGGGAAGCAGTCTCAGCCAGACTATCCTGCTAATATTTACTGGGGCTCCAGCCATTTCCCAGCTCAGGCTCTGCCTGGACTGATGGCTGTGGGGACAAGCAGAGCATCATGTAATGCCTGTGCTGGCAGATACTGAGCACTCAGCCAGGCAGCAAAGAGGTGCAGAAGTGAAAAAAAACCCCTGTTCAAATTCAAACCTCTGCTCACACAGCATTTGTTAATAAAGCCCCTTGACATTACCATGTATGAAAGAAAACACTGAAATTGCGGTGGTTTTATTTTGTATGCATTTGTATGCAATCAGTTTTCCTCTGCAGACCTAATGTATGTCCCCTCCTATGGGGTGGTTCCACTGGAACACGTGGGAGCTCACCATGCAGCAGTTTGGCTGGGACCTGTCGTATGCAGGGGTGCTCAGCTGTGCCCAGGTGCTGGGCAGTGAAGGACAGGGGTCTGGCATAAGCCCTTCAGTGGTGGGTTGTATCTGTGGGGGAACTCTCTTTCCTCCATGGAAACCCTCAATGCTTTTGTAGGAGACACTGCAGGAACTCCACATCCTTCCTCAGCAGAGTCTTCTCTCTCCTCTAATAGACTGGATACAGCTCCACAGCCAGCCTCTAGCCACTCAGGTGTGATGAAACGATGGGCTCTTGGTATATGGAGATACTGTTCCACAGGGAAGCACTGTCTAAAGATATGTGGTAGTGCCCTGGTGCTGAATTCCAGTGATGGAAAGGGACTTTGGCAAAATTTATTAGAAACAGAAGTGTCAAAGTACCTTGGAAAAGGGTACTGCTGGTTTCCAGAGAAACACAGAGACTGAATGCAGATCTGAACCTCCCTGAAGCAATTCTATGGATTCTGCTTAGATTCATTTATGGAGCAGCCTGATGTGATTCAGGTCAAAGACATCATCAGAAATAATGAACATACAATTTCTCCCTATGTTTGCTTTATGGTTTAATATTTCTTTTTGCTAATCATAAGCTATAGGATACCTGATTATTCTAACTTTTGTTTTTGGAAAGTAATAGGTCATATTTGTGGGCTAGCTTAAGTGGGAGCCTTCTCTCGGAGTCTAAGGGTGGAATTTGAGCAGGACAGGATAAAACAGAATAATTACAGTTGGAAGAGACCTAGAGGTTTGGTCCACTGTGACAAATGCTTTGAGCTGGATTAGACTAAATGCCTTCCATAGGTCCTCTCTAGTATAAATTATACTAGGATTCTGAATGCTTTGAGAAATTTCTTGCATAACAAGTGAAGGCATGAATTCAAAGTTAAATGGGAATTTGCAATCACTCCTTGATAGAAAACTGAACTCTGCAATTGAGCCATTGGTTCAGCTAAAAGTAGACACGCAGTCTGGTATGGAGTATGTGTATCTTCAGGGACAGCTATCGGGAAGCAATGAATCCAGGCTACTTCCCTGCATTACCCTGTGCATCCCCTATATCACACCATCCAGTTCCTTGAGCCATATAGACAGTAATAATACATTACATAAATTTGTGCATGATTTCTTATCCCTTTTATCCCAAGGTAGTGAAGAACTGAGATGTTCCACACAGTACCCAAAGCCTGAACAGAAAATTGAATGAACACTTATTTGGCAGCAACTGTCATAGCAGCAACTTTCTGTAGGTTGTCTTAATGGATTTATCACCCTGAACTAAGCCCTGACCATCTGTTCTATTCTCTCATTACAAACACAGAAAAAGATAATTCATGATTGCATAATAAAAAAGTAAAATATAAATGATTTAAGAGTAGGGAATGCTTCACACTCTGATTAGGAAAATGACTGTCTTCCACAGAGTGACTTCCCTGATAACAGAGTTTGCTTTTTCCCAGCAAATGGGAATTACTGAGGAATGAGGCTTGCTAGAATGAGTTTTATTCCCACTCATTCATCTTAAATGTATTTTTAAATATGGGATTCATGTAAGTGAAGCTATGAATCTTCCTTTCCTTCTCTTTTAGGTGAGCCCTCCAAAAATTTATTTTGGTTGGAAAAACTAGCATTCTGTTCTCAAGGCATGAGCTGGTTTTCCATTTCATGAAAATGAAGTGCCTGGTGGCAGTCTGGCCCAGCACACCCTGCTCCCACTGCAACAGCAGTTGGGGTTTCTTTGGACCTATCTGAGCAACTCTGAACTGAGCAAAAACTTCTCCAGCTTCATGTGATATAAAATCTGGCCAGATCTGTGGGGACAACCTACTTGTGTGGGAACCTTAGGTGAAGAGCTTTTAAAAGGCAGAGTGTACTGAGTCAGTGGTAAATGTTTGTGTCCATATCTGCTATGTAGGAAGAGGGTAGAAAGGATCAGAGCAGGCTCTAGGTTTCACATGGACCTCTTGTTTCTACACCATTCTGCCATTCATCTAGCAAGATAAAATTCTGATAGGCCAGGTGTTGCTAGCCCATTTGTTAGTGAATTGCTTTAATTTCTGAGTGCCAAGCAAAGATACCTCCCCAGCACACCTAATTTCCATGTTTCAGTATCAAAACTGAGCACGGACCTGACTGAAACCTGTGCTACTCTCTACTACTGAATTTCTGTGGTCAGTAAATACACAGCAAGAGGCAATAACACACTGAATCGGTGGCAGCCCCTGGATGAGGTACTGGGACAGCTTCTCCTGAGAAGCTGTGGATGTCCCATGCCTAGAAGTGTTCAAGGTCAGGTTGGATGGTGCTTGGGACAACTTGGTCTAGTGGAAGGTGTCCCTGTCCACTGTAGGGATTGGAATGAAATTATCTTTAGGAGCCCTCCCAACTCAAACCATTCTGGGATTCTGTGACTCCCATCCCTCCTCCATCCCATGATAATAAATGCTACAGAGTAATCCCTGTGTAAATAACTCCAGATTTCCGACCAGAGGTTTTGCTCAGAAGAAGGCACCCTA